CCCCCCCCCCCCCAATCACCGAGAATAGAACAAGTCTGAAGAACTACATGGAAAGATAAAACAGTACATCACACGAACAAAAATTCCTAAACAAGTGACGCTTGATTTTCCATTTAGAACAGAGAGGAATTCACTATTTGAATAAACATTATTAAGACTAACATTTTACTTACAAATGCAAAGGTTAAAATATTTCCACAAGTTCGTTTTGAATATTTGATTGCTAAATGTTAGATTACGGCTGGCTGAAACTCGGAAATCAACTTTTCTCTTGTCGGGAAAAAGAATCCAAATGAAATGAGAGCGAGGCGGGAATAAACAAAAATGTAAGCGGGATGCAAGACGAAAACAAAAGAAGAAGCATTGTGGTTTGGCTATCCCCCTTGCCCCCCCCCCCCCCCCTCTTTTTCCTTCTATAGAATCTGCCAGATCGCCACGCGTGTCCAAATTTATTAGCACACGCGCAGTTCTAGTTGTGGCCATCCCTCGGGAGGTGCTCACCACGAACTGGGCTTGATGAAATGGTTAGGTACCAAAGCAAGTTCACGGCCCCTACGGGTGCATGTTCGTTTAGGAAATCCCTTGAGGCTTGGACTAGAATATGAATTTGGGTGATTAATTTGTGCAGTCACCGGTGAGATATGCGTTAATATGAAGGTAGTATCCTAATGAAAGTGGATAATTGGAGGCAACTTTCATCATCATCATGTGTCTTGCAGATCGACATTTGTGCACATTAGGCATCCCCGTGCGTGCTCAGTCCTCCGATGCAGCAGCCATTTCAGGGTATCTCTACTACTCTACTGATTGTTCCCATGAAAAGTTGGTTATAATACTTCTTGTGTTTCAATCAAAGACGGCAAAGTAGTGCTTTAAAAAGGTTAATTCTTCTGTCACGCAGTCGTGTTAGCGTTAGAGATTCGCCATTACAGAAACTAGTCCGTACAGCGTTGATGATATCAGCTCTGTCCATGCTTCTTCCCCTTTGCATTTGGGCATTACTTGCCATCTGGTCAGCTCTTTCATTACTATTTACTACTGCGTGCCCAAGTGTGAAGATCCTGATGATGGAGGTTAACTGCGACTTCTGAGTGCTTTCTACCCATTCGGAGCGTAGACTACCTGTATCGATTTTTCTGAAACATACTCATAGAGTCTGACATGCGAGTGCTTTGGAAGCAGCAGTGGGTGTGTGTGTGGGGGGGGGGGGAGGGGTGAGTAGTCTCGAGGCATGGCGTTCGCCTTGAGTGCTGGAGGTCCCGGGTTCATGCCCCGGTGAAGGCTGTGATTTTTTCACGTGGACCTCTAGTAATTTTCCCTGGTCTCTGGCTAGTAAGATCGGACGCCCGTGTGTATTTTTGCTTACGTAAAATATCCCTTGGCAGTTGGAAATCGAACAGAGTAGCATAACGGCGCTGCGCCGGGCAAAATTTGGAGTTAAAAATCTACCCAAAGTATTTCATGATCCTCGCCGGTGCTACGGAGTTCGTGCACTGCGCTAAGAATCTTCAGACTCAGGCTTCAGTTAAATGTAGAACTGAAGACTTATGGGTTACTAACCTTGTGCCATGATGTTGATCCATTGTATAAACCAATCTTCTTGCCGATAAAGCGGTCATGTTTCGCTACCTCACAGGATCACAAGAATAACGGATCGTATCAGCGTTCTTGTCTCACCTCCACCCATTTGGTAAAACCATACAGGTGATAGTCTCTTTCTTCTTCTTCTTCTTCTTCTTCTGCGTTCGACATCAGCCATGCTAAACATTGAGTCTCGTCTGGGTCACAAATAGGATTGTGCGTTTAAGGTCGCCACTGGTCCCCCATAGCTCCTCTTTCAGTGTGGCTCCCTTGGGCCAGATCCACAGTCTTTGCTAGGAGAGGTTAGGGCAGTACTGCAGTATGTGCCCAGGGGTCTGTCTTTCTGCTCCACAATCTCAGGCAGAAGATTCTTTTATGCCTATCCTGTACAGGTGTGCTCGAAGACCACAGTGTCCAGTCCGAAGTCTAAAAATTGTTTTTGTTCTTTCCTGTTGAGTTTGTTTATGCTGTCACTCTCTGATCTGTAATCTCCATTCTGCCTTCTTAACTCTTGCTTGAAAGACTGCTTTAGTGATGTTTTGGTTTCATTGTAGCTGTGTGGTGGATGAGGTTGTGGAAAATTACTACCAGCTTTTGCCAACTCATCTGCTCTCTCATGTCCTTGAATACCACAGTGGGCTGGTATCCACTGCAAGACCAGGCATTCTCAATTTCCTGTGCAAGATATGTCAACTGGTCCTCTGTGTTTCTGTGCTGTCTGTATCCTGTCTGTGTGGTGGTGATTACAGAGTTTATCTCCAAGAACCATAATAGTCTTTTATTTACTAATTTCTCCATCAATTTTCCTACACAACTAAGAAGGCTGATGGGTCTGTAGCTTTTTGGGTCTCTTCTGTCTCCACCCTTTTTAAGGATAGGCTGGATGAGAGCTTCCTTCCAGGCTGACGGTACCACCCCTTTTTGCCAGCTCTGGTTGTAAATGCAGAGAAGAAACTTCTTGGCAGCAGGTCCAAGATGAGAGAGAAATTCCTTTGTAATGCCGTCAGCCTCTGGGGCTTTCTTCATTTTCAACTCTTCAATTCCAACCTCCAGCTCTTGCATGGTAAACTTTTCTGACATGCAGGCCTCGGTTGTTTTTGTGCTAGAGTCTGCTAGAAGAGTGTTGGTCTGGTTTCGTACTTCTTTTATTCTTTGCACGGGAATATGAACGTCAGTTTCCTTCTGGTGTGTTTCAGCTAGCACATCTGCTGCTACCTTGCCAGTAACAGCTCCATCGTCTGTTAGGAGTACAACTCTGGCTTTTTCTGTCTTGTCTCCATTCAGGCTTTTTGTGAAATTCCACAGACATGAAGTGTCCTTCTCGAGGTTAAATGACGATAGTCTCTTTGCCATTCATGTGCTGTTGAAAAAAAAGTCTTGCAAAGTCGACACCAAATTATTGAAGCTATTTCTTCTTCTTCTTCTTTATGAACACTGTACTATACTATACTAGGGAGTTTCATCGAACAGGCCAGCCGGTAGGACTTTTGATGATGATGATTGGATTGGCTTTTTACCCCACCAGGACATCACACAAGCGATAAACACCCGATGACACAAAGTGCCACGATGCGGATGAGGATCACTGTGGAGAGGTCCCAGAAACCGCGTTCAAACATTTGGCCATAATGATGACCTGCCTATATTGCGGCCCCTGGCAAAAGCCAGAGTGGGGCTTCAAATAACAAAAAATAACATCCTATGAAGGACGTAATTAATATATCCTATGATGATGATGACAATGATGCTGTACTAATAGAGTAGCCCAGCACACAATATCTGTTACAACCAATTTCATTCGCTGTTTTTTCTTTGCATTTACTGCAAATTGATTACAAATTAAAATGCACATAAACTATTTTAACATCAAAACCCTTTAACGTGAAATTAATTAAGAAATATAATTATTTTTAATTAATTAGAAAAGTTTGCTTTTAAGATACATATAATAATTTTGTAAACATTTGAAGGACGTTTGATTTTTCGCCAATGAGCAGGCGGGTTACAACGGAGTGGTCCAGCATGATCTAGAGACGGACATTTCCCAAGAAAAATAGGATCTCAGAACGGGGACTTGGTCGGGCAAATTTAGATATTATTCCTTGAATATCTGTCGTTTTACAACACAGAACATGGCTACAGATCCTTCGGGAAAGACTCGGACAGTATTGTTTAAAAATAAAGGCAAAGATGCCGATGTAAGTTGTAAATTGTTTACTAAACTAACTAAAACTAAAGTGATAGTGATACCAAAAAATGTTTTTCTGTCTAGTCTGTGAACTGAAACGTAATGAATGATCATGATCATCTTGCATGATGATGTTTACGTTGTATTAATAACTTTGTAAGTTCTCTGTTTTATCTTGTATGTTTTGTTTCTAATAATTCATTAATGTCCCGTACAGGTTTGTCACTTTGTCTTTGTCTGAGTGAGGTGTTCCCTGTTACGTGAAAGGGACGATTGCGATTAGTTTTAAGTTTCGTCGTACTTTAGTCTGGCTGACTTAGATAAAACATTAATTTAGTGATAGTTACTACTCATTTATGGTAAGGTAATGTAGTGGATAGCCGCATACTTGCCAACTCTAAGCTCTTGGGTTCAATTTCTCCCTGTATTTGTATCAATGTATGTATTAATTTTTCGGCCTCCATCCATTATTGGGGGGGGGGGGGGGGGGGGGGGGGAGGAGGATCATGATGACTTAACAAGCATGTTGTGCAAAACAACTATTTAGGGGAGTTAACTTCAAAGTCAGACTACATCTGGCGAGGAAATGATATAAAATTCTGCATACTAATAAGCTAGTTCTGTAAAACTGCAAACGTGCATAATAATAAAACTCAGCTATCTTCCGAATAACGGTCCCAATTTATTGAGGCAGAAAATATACCCTAACACGGCCTCAGTCACGTGTCAATTGCGCACTTCCGGCGACTTCCGCCACCGGCGAGAGTATCCCCCCGCCGCATGACCCCCACGCCACTCATATGGCGTGGATTGGGGCTAAACTAGATGGCTGGGACTCAGGAGCAGCAGCTACCGCATTTCCTGCAGCTGCCTTCGTTTTTTTTGCTCGTGAGTCCTAGCCATCTAGTTTAGCCTTAATCCACGCTGCTCACGCGGCGTGGGGGATACTCTCAGCAGTGGTGGACGTCGCCGAAAGTTGGCAATTTTGAAGCGGCAGTATAGTCCCAGGATGTACGCAATTGACACGTGACTGAGGCCCTGTTCGGGTATATTTTCTGCCTCGATAATTTTGGACTGTTATTCGGAAGATACATAAAACTCTAGTTCAGGGAGAAGACGTCTAGAACTCTAGAAATAGACTAGCAACCAGAACTTTCTGACAAGAGTTTACTTAAAGACGGTGAACATGTGAGTTTAAAACTAAATTGAGGGTTTAAAAAAAATTAATCCTGGTTAGTTAGTTTGCAGATCATCCTCATTGCACATGGAACTATTTAAGTCCATAAGACAAACCCTAGTTAGACTTGCTCTCATTTTTTCAGTTAGTGTGTTCTCACTTGTTACTAACCAAACTGTTTTGGTTATCTGCAGGAAATGCGCCGTCGGAGAACAGAAGTTACTGTGGAATTACGAAAGGTACACTGTTGTCAGTAATTTATTTTAAATCATGTAGGCTGCGAGGTCATCCAGCATTGTCTAAAATGGGTAAAAGCTCTACACCACTTGGTGATGAATTGATGTATGGCAAGTTAGATATTGTGAGGGCCCTTGGGTAACAGGTGAACAATGTGGAGGCGCAGATAGATCGTTACAGTCTAAGGAGAATGGCGCTGCGAGAAGTTAACCAGGGGATCCGGCCGTCGCTCAACACTCGGGGGAAGGATGAGACGGATATACAATCAGACGGTTACTTTTACCATCCGAATTGGAACTCTTTGCTTGCTACTGAAGATAGGGACTTAGCACTTATGGGAGTGTCCTGAGTGCTGTGATGTCGATTCTTAATTCAACTTTTTTGGGTACCAGCAGATTTCTTGGAGAGGGAAAAAAACAAGGCAAGTTAGCATGATAGTAACTGCATCACCCAGTGAATGACAGCTGGTATTTTTCAAACAGTACAATTACAGTGTTTAAGGTTTTGAACAACAGGTGAACATCATGGCTCACGGGTAGTAACCCATAAGTACCCTGTTCTTTCTTTTAACTTAAGTCTGAGTCCGAAGAAGCTCAGCACAGTGCACAGGTTCTGTGAAATACCTTGGGTACATTTTTAACTCCAAATTTTTGTCCGGGCAGCAACGTTAGGCTATTCTTTTTGATTTCCAACTGCCAAGGGATTTTTTACGCGCGCAACAATGCACAAGGGTGTCCGATCTCTCTACCTAGAGACCAGGGGCTAGAAGTCCAAGTCTATGTGAAAACAATTCCAGCTTTTACCGGGAATTGAACCTGGAACCTCTGGCACTCAAGGCCGATACCATGCCTCGAGACCACACATCCCCTTAATTACAGTATTTGCACTCCTTCAAAAGACATGACCACCATATATGTCATGATCTTGAAACCCAGGCCTTACAGACTTAAGTGGATTGGTCACATTTATGATGGTTTGGTAATGTGTGCAGAATTAGAATCAGCCACCATGGGAGGTCACCATGATGAGCCAGGGTTCGCTGTGACGACAACTTCCAACAGTCATTGACTGACAGAGGACTCGAATGGAACAAAGCCAGAAAGAAATCTGCTGATAGAGTAGTCTGGGGATCCTCTCTGGCAAAACTCTACAGCCCATGGTAGAACAGGATCGACTGAGTAAAGTTAATAAGGTAGAAGACATAACATTTGATAACAACTATGCTGGAAGGAAGAGTAGAAGACTGGTGAGCAAGTAGTTGGCAGTGATACAAGTGCAGAGACAACACCAAAATGACGAATATCCTGTGTCTTGTTCCTACAGTTAGGTGTTGATACAGTTTATGAGCATCAGGTGTGAATTTCATTGTAGTCTACTTCTACTTCTTTCTACTTCTTTCTGTGAGTGCCGATCAATACACTTTCTGTTACCTGATTAATTGTAGTCACTATAGCTTTTATTATGTCTGTTTCCAGTGTTTGCCCTCATTTGTTAATAATTTTTATAATACATTTTGTAATTTGAATTTGTTTGCCTTGAACACCATGAACACAGAGCAAGCGAGATGAGCACATGTTGAAGAGGAGGAACGTACCGACACAGGACAGCACAGACTCTGAAGACAATGAAAAGCCCTCTACCCAGTCTTTGGAAACTATTGTTGCCAACGCCAACAGTCCCGAACCAGAGGTACAGCTGAGTGCAGTCCAAGCGGCCAGGTAACTGTTGCCCACTTTTGTTTCTTCAGATATAGCAAGTTGATTGTATTGTGTTGATTTTGATTAGTACCCAGGGCTGTATTTAAGCATGTGCAGCTGTACAGAGTGGTAAAATATAGCTTCTTCTTCTCTTCCACCTTGTACCTCATCGAAGTGTCGGGGGGGGGGGGGGGTAACATTCGTTCATGAGCTGTTTCGAGAGCACTATTAAAACTGATGTTCATTTCTGTAAGGCTGTTCTTAATGTCATCACTCCCATCTTTTTTCCAAGGTCTTCCACTCGCTCTATACCTGTTGTAAAATTTTAGCTCGCTGTGGCAGATAGTACCAGGGCATTCTTGTTAGGTGTCCAAACAACTTCATTTGTTGTTCTTTGATGACCTGTAAGACTGGCTTTATTCCTAGCATTCGTCTGATTTCGTATTCTGTCTTTCCTTGAAACTCCTTCTAAGGCATTTCATCTTACATTCATTGAAGGATGTAAGTGCGAAATATAGCTGTTAGTATAAAAGAAAATATTTTTTAATAGAGAGGTGTCTGAGAGAAGACCAGCCTCAATTTAATAGAGTATCAACATTTTTATGTAGGCTGTGTGGCACAAAGTCCTGGGGATCACATCACCTACCATATGCCGATTTGTCTGTAAAATATAGGTCTAACCCCATGTATACAGTAGAAAAGGGTCCTTTATTAACTTTTTTTTCTGTGGCAAAGATGGCCAGGTCTGGGTACAGCAGAGGTCTGGGTACAGCAGAGGTCTGGGCACAGCAGAAGTCTGGGTACAGCAGAGGTCTGGGTACAGCAGAGGTCTGGGCACAGCAGAAGTCTGGGTACAGCAGAGGTCTGGGTACAGCAGAGGTCTGGGCACAGCAGAGGTCTGGGTACAGGACAGGTCTTGGTACAGCAGAGGTCTTGGCACAGCAGAGGTCTGGGTACAGCAGAGGTCCTGGTAAGTAGCATACAAATGAATGCTACTGCGATTGAAATTTAAACAAAATTTTTATTTTGAATTTTCCAGAAAATTGTTGTCCAGTGACCGCAACCCGCCAATCGATGACCTCATTGCTTCGGGCATCCTTCCGATACTGGTCAACTGTTTATCAAAAGATGACAATCCGGCCCTACAATTTGAAGCGGCGTGGGCGTTGACCAACATTGCCTCTGGCACGTCCGCTCAGACACAAGCTGTGGTGCAAGCAGGTAAGTGTAAAGTTTCACAAGGATGTTGTGAGTGTGAAGTTTCATGACTCTGTGGTGAGCGTGAAGTTTCACAAGGTTGTGGTGATCGTGAAGTTTCATGAGACTGGTAAGTGAGAATTTTCATGATACTGTGGTGAGTGTGGTTTTATGAGACTGGTGAGTGTGAAGTTTCATGAGACTGGTGAGTGAAGTTTCACGAGGATGTGGTGAGTGTAATATTTCATGAGAATATGGTGAGTGTGAAGTTTCATGATACTGTGGTGAGTGTGAAGTTTCATGATACTGTGGTGAGTGGGAAGTTTCATGATACTGTGGTGTGTGTGAAGTTTCATGAGGATGTAGTGAGCGTGAAGTTTCATGAGGATGTAGTGAGCGTGAAGTTTCATGAGGATGTGGTGAGTGTGAAGTTTCATGAGACTGGTGAGTGTGAAGTTTCATGATACTGTGGTGAGTGTAAAGTTTCATGAGGATGTAGTGAGTGTAAAGTTTCATACTCTGGTGAGTGTGAAGTTTCATGAGACTGGTGAGTGTGAAGTTTCATGAGACTGGTGAGTGTGAAGTTTCATGAGGATGTGGTGAGTGTGAAGTTTCATAATACTGTGGTGAGTGTGAAGTTTCATGAGGATGTAGTGAGTGTAAAGTTTCATGAGGATGTAGTGAGTGTGAAGTTTCATGAGACTGGTGAGTGTGACGTTTCATGATACTGTGGTGAGTGTGAAGTTTCATAATACTGTGGTGAGTGTAAAGTTTCATAATACTGTGGTGAGTGTGAAGTTTCATGATACTGTGGTGAGTGTAAAGTTTCATGATACTGTGGTGAGTGTAAAGTTTCATAATACTGTGGTGAGTGTGAAGTTTCATAATACTGTGGTGAGTGTGAAGTATCATTAGGCTATAATGAGTGAAGTTTCCTTCGAAGATAGTGAAGTTTAATAATAACGCTTTGAGTGAAATTTCACCCATTTAAAAAAACCGAAGCAGCGCAGGGTGTGAAATAGAAAGAAGGGGAAGAAATTATTCAAATTATTGTCCATGAATTTCACCTCTCATGTGGTGTTGGTTTCAGGTGCAGTACCTTACTTTCTGCAGCTGCTGAGGTCACCACATCAGAATGTGTGTGAACAGGCTGTCTGGGCGCTGGGTAATATTATCGGTAAGTACCAGCCTTTCTGTCTTCTCGACCTCTCTTTTCTTTATCCTCTTCATGTCGCTGTTGACACATATGGCATTCACAACTTATCTCCATTGCTGCAATTACATTTATACACAAATTAAAGTTTTATTGCAACATATTGTATTGAATATTTTATTATTATTATTCTATTTTCTAATGGCTCACTTATTTATCTCCATATTGATAATTCATTCAATAAAAAATGTTCCAACTTAATTAAACTATAGTTTAATTTGTGTATAAATGTACTCAATAACATTGGTGAGCACAGACCGGCTGTGGCCCCGGCCTAACAGAACGGGAATTTCCGTAGACCTGTTTGGCCTTATTACTGGAGCTGGCCGTGCATACCCCTTACAGACCTCACAAAACACACATGAGTACAAGTGAGATGGTTCTCTTGCTTTGTGATGATGTTGCTTTTCATCCATGTCACCAAGTGATGGCCCTGTCTAGGAACCATGTGATCAACCTGAGAGCCATCCAGCACCTACCTGCTTACCATGAATTACCTTTTCAGGGACCAAAATGTTGAAAATGTGGATCGTCACGGGCTACAAGCCTCAGACCCAACATTGACATGTAATTGATACAGTGCGATTGTCACCAACCTACGGGCCACTTGCTAGGTCTGCCAGTTGAATAGCTCTGACATATATCTTACAGAACACACATTCTTCTTCTTCTTTTGTTCGCCTGAAAAAAGTTGTCTATATCAGCAATTTTGTCTCTTATATAAATTTCACTTTCGTTGTTAGTTCATTCAGTGGTCCATAGAGTTTACGCTCCACTGTAGTTCTTTCTGGCCGAAAGGTTTGCCTTAATGTGTCAAATTCGGTGCAGACATGCTCTGCTGTCTGGGGCACCTTTCCACAGGTGCACATGGCTGATACGTTTATCTTGAAGTTTGTGTACATGTGGTTACGTAATCGGTTGTGCCCTGTTCTGAGGCGAAGGATAATGACTTGTTCTGGTCTGTCCATAATAAAATAGTCGTCTTGTGCTGGAGCTGGCGAAACACACGTGAGTACAGGTGAGATGTTTCTCCGGTCATGTAATGAAGATGTGGTTCTTGTTCTTGTTTCAGCCCATATCAGTTACTCTCAGATTCTTCTTCTTCTTTCGTTCGTTGGAAATAGATTATCTATATCTGCAAAGTTGTCTCTAGTATGAACTTCACTGCCTTTTGTAGCTCAGTGACCCGTAGAGTGTGACTTGCACCGGTGTTTCTCTTGGCCAAAAGTGTTACCTTGATATGTTGTATTTGGGACAGTCTTGGAGGACATGATCTGTTGTCTCAGGTGCCAATCCACATGTGCACATGGCTGATTCGCCAATTTTAAATGTTGTGTACACGTGACTGCAATGTTGATTGTGTCCTTTTCTAAGGCGTAGAATAATAACTTGCTTTGAGATTGTGTAGGGAATCCCTGGGAAAGTCCAAGCTAAGGCGTTGCGAGTCCGACTCGTAAGCCAGCATACCGCGATCGAAACCCACTGCTGGCTGCGTGGATTTTTATCGTGGAATGGGATGTCGCAGGTCGACCCAGCCTAAAATGGGTACCAGGATGGGCTGTCCTGGGAAAGTAAAGACAGCCGGCGTAATGCTGACCACAGAGTGCTGATGGTCTGTTAAAATATGGGACGCTCTGCCCATATGCCCGATGCGCCGAAAGACGTGAAAAGGGATCTTTACTTTTTTACTTTATTAGGGAGTGAAATGAATGACAACTAACACTAACACTAACCCCTCTATAAGATTGGACTTGTCCCAGGAATTCCCTGTGAAATCTCTGAGCCCCCGAGATGGGATGAAATAAGAGAGTAATCGATGCTGCTTCTTGTCAGGTGATGGCCCACAATGCAGGAACTACGTGATCAACCTGGGTGCCGTTCAGCATCTGCTGACCTTCATCAATCCCAGCATCCCCCTGCCTTTCCTCCGCAACGTTGCCTGGGTGATCGTCAACTTATGTCGGAACAAAGATCCCCCGCCTCCTGCAGAGACAATTGAAGAGATTCTTCCTGCCTTGTGCCAGCTCATACACCATGCTGATGTCAATGTAAGTACAAAGTAAAGTACGCTTCTCTACGTCTTCATGTTGTGTGTTGGGCTTATCTTCTTTGCCTTTGTCCTGGTTGCTCATCCATTTGGGCTTTGGCAAGTTTATGCCTTGGTCCTCGTGCGTCCTGCAAGACAATAAAGCATCCCCGTGTGGGTTCCGGGGTCCCATCTTGGGAAAGACAAGAATAGACCCACTGCCTGCCTAACAAGCACGTCAGAAGGGTAGACTAATTGGAGCTTCCTTCGAATTCGGAGATCTGCCTGAAAGGTAAGGAACTAACAGTCTGCATACAAATGAGTCAGACTTGTAAAATGGATGTGGACGCAATACTTAAGTTTCTGGAACAGGACTAGAATCCAGGAGTGGGTAGACAACTAGAACTTTTGGTCAAAGTTGACAGCCGGTGAATGCGAAGAAGAAGAAATTGTTGAATATATTGTTTGTGTCTTTGTACAGTCTTTTCTTCATTCTCAGTTATCTTCGTCTTTTCGTAAACCCCGATGTTTGTATTCCGTCACCGGGTGGACTTTAGTTTTGCTCCAGAACTTCAGTTTTGCGTGCACAACCGTTTTACAGATCTGGCTTGTTTGTGTTGATTCTTCACCTCTCAGGCAGATGCACTTTGACTTCGAAGGAAACTCCCCTAATTCGTCTACTTTAAGGACATGCTTGTTAGAGGGCCTGTATGTCTGTTCTTTCTTCCCCGGAACCCACACGGGTAGAATCCCAATTTTCATATTTTTTCTTTTGTTTAACCCAAAAAGTCGCTGTTCGTATATTTTATTTTGTCTTTTCATCAAAAACATTTTGCCTTCACTTGCTTTTGACACCAGCTTGATGGCGATCACTCCTACTTTCCCAACCTTTTACAATCATATATTCCTGCGACTTTTCTCTCACTCTTCTAACCTCACACTTTATCCCTCACTCACACTTCTACTCTCACAGTTTTACTCTCACAAAATTACACTCACACTTTTGTTGTTGTTGATAAAACTTTTTCAGCTACAAGAACAAGAGGACGGCCACGAAAAATATGGATCGACAACATTAATGACAATAGCCAGTGGCAGCCAACATGCACTGGATCGCAAATTATTCCTCCCCACGACGCTTAACGGCAGTTGTTGTTTATGATATGACAACAGCTCACAGAAGCCAGCTGCAGGCCTCGGAAATGAGATACCTGAGAAAGGTGGTCCAAGTGACAAGAAGGGACAAAGTCCGCAATCAGACAATACGTCAAGATCTTGATACCCAGCCCTTACTAACCCGAGTGGATCAGTCAAACAGTTACGATGGTTTGGACATGTGTGCAGAATGGGAGAAAATCGGCCACCATGGCAAGCATGGGAGGCTAAGAACCAGGGAACCAGACCTCCGGGACGACCCAGGGTGCGCTGGAAAAACAACATCCGACAGTCCCTGACTGACAGAGGACTGGAATGGAACAAAGCCAGAAAGAAAACTGCTGATAGAGACGTCTGGTGATCTCTCTGGCAAACCTCTACACCCCAAGGTAGAAGAGGAGCGACTAAGTAAGTAAAGTAAAAGTTGTTTATGATGATGATCAAACCTGTTTATATATATCTGTTGTGGACATATTGATGAATGATCTGCTTCATCTTGTGCCCAGATATTGGTAGATACTGTGTGGGCCTTGTCGTATTTGACAGACGGAGGCAATGAGCAGATTCAGATGGTGATTGATAGTGGTAAGGTTCCTTTCCTCGTGCCGTTGCTGGCTCATCAGGATGTTAAAGTTCAGGTACGGCTGACTGATGTACTTCCTTTTTTTGTCTCCACTTTCTTCTTGTATCTTCTTCTTCTCCTCCTCTTCTGCTTTTTCTTCTCCTCTTCTGCTTCTTCTCCTCTTCTGCTTCTTCTCCTCTTCTGCTTCTTTTTCTTCTCCTCTTCTGCTTCTTTTTCTCCTCTTCTGCTTCTTCTCCTCCTCTTCTTCTTCTTCTTTTTCTCCTCCTCTTCTTCTGCTTCTTCTTCTTCTCCTCTTCTTCTTCTCCTCTTCTCCTTCTTTTTCTCCTCATTTGTTTCTTCTTCTTCAGACTTCGGGCCGAGCTGTCCGCTCACATTTTGAAAAGTGTATTTGTTTCTAGCCTCTCTTTGCTGATGCATTTACCATATTTCTGGGCTTGGAGTCCAAAGTTCTATTGCCCAGCTACTGAATTCAGTGCTTGTTGTGGCACTGAGCTGTGGATTTTATGTGGAATGTTTTTTCTGTTGTGCCCGCAGTAGTTTCCTGTTGTGAAAAGGTAAGTTGCTTATCCTTTACAGGACGTTGCAGAACCAACCCCAGCATTTTTTGGCTGGCGTGGTTTTTCTAGGCAAATTTTACTTTTAGTAGCTTGCCACTGCTTTCTAGAAGGTCAGCTCTTGGGACCACTGTCGAAGCCAGCTCAAGACAAATCGTCCACAGCTGGGTTCGGACCCAGCAGTACGAAGCGTGTTTGCAACGCCTAAGCAACAGCGAGTATGAATATAGAGGCTGAAAAAAAAATGGGGGGGGGGGGGGGTGTTATTAGTTTTTCTAAAAGTGCTGTTTGAAAAATGTCCCTTTGCATGTTCAAAAGTTCAGTTATTTAATCTTCTAATAGTAATTTTTGTTTTTTTCATGACAACTTATCTTCAGACGGCAGCGTTGAGGGCTGTAGGCAACATTGTAACAGGCACAGACGAGCAGACGCAGACGGTGCTCAACTGTAACGCCCTGCAGTACTTCCCTTCCCTGCTGACTCACCCGAAGGAGAAGATTAACAAGGTAGGTTTCTGTCTGTGGTTTTGGCTGACTAAAGCAGCTTCTGTCTTTTGAGTTGCCAAAGTGATCCAACTTGCAAACTAGGAGTTGAGTTATAAGTTAGATTATTCTCACAGCAACACGGACACATCCATAGATTCCCCTCTCAACATATTCATCAACGTCACACAGTTAATAGTGCCAGTCCTATGTTGGTTAACAAGACTTTGTGTGCGTCCAGTGTGCTTTTCATGCTTGGCTGTGCTGATCTTTACTCCCGATTCTCGTATTGTTAGCTGTGATGTGGACACATTGCTTCCAAAATCCTCAGAACGTCCTATCTCTCTAAGGGCAATAACAATGTCTGCTTGATCCATTTGCCAGCCATCTTCAAGTAAGGCGGCACCTGCCAGTGTATCAGCTCTTTCATTACCAACAACGCCTGTATACCCTGCAAGGAATATGAAAGTAACTGCACACACAGGAGAGTTCAAGGAAACTAAAGTTTGTTTGACCAATCAGACACTTGAGTCGGGTTCTGATGACACTAGCCATGAGTGCAGGGACTGGCCAGCGGGTGCTGCACGCCTGTATACCCTGCAAGGAATATGAAGGTAACTGCACACACAGGAGAGTTCAAGGAAACTAAAGTTTGTTTGACCAATCAGACACTTGAGTCGGGTTCTGATGACACTAGCCATGAGTGCAGGGACTGGCCAGCGGGTGCTGCACACCTGTATACCCTGCAAGGAATATGAAGGTAACTGCACACACAGGAGAGTTCAAGGAAACTAAAGTTTGTTTGACCAATCAGACACTTGAGTCGGGTTCTGATGACACTAGCCATGAGTGCAGGGAGACTGGCCAGCGGGTGCTGCACGCCTGTATACCCTGCAAGGAATATGAAGGTAACTGCACACACAGGAGAGTTCAAGGAAAAAGTAAAGTTTGTTTGACCAATCAGACACTTGAGTCGGGTTCTGATGACACTAGCCATGAGTGCAGGGACTGGCCAGCGGGTGCTGCACGCCTGTATACCCTGCAAGGAATATGAAGGTAACTGCTCACACAGGAGAGTTCAAGGACACTAAAGTTTGTTTGACCAATCAGACACTTGAGTCGGGTTCTGATGACACTAGCCATGAGTGCAGGGACTGGCCAGCGGGTGCTGCACGCCTGTATACCCTGCAAGGAATATGAAGGTAACTGCACACACAGGAGAGTTCAAGGACACTAAAGTTTGTTTGACCAATCAGACACTTGAGTCGGGTTCTGATGACACTAGCCATGAGTGCAGGGACTGGCCAGCGGGTGCTGCACGCCTGTATACCCTGCAAGGAATATGAAGGTAACTGCACACACAGGAGAGTTCAAGGACACTAAAGTTTGTTTGACCAATCAGACACTTGAGTCGGGTTCTGATGACACTAGCCATGAGTGCAGGGACTGGCCAGCGGGTGCTGCACGCCTGTATACCCTGCAAGGAATATGAAGGTAACTGCACACACAGGAGAGTTCAAGGACACTAAAGTTTGTTTGACCAATCAGACACTTGAGTCGGGTTCTGATGACACTAGCCATGAGTGCAGGGACTGGCCAGCGGGTGCTGCACGCCTGTATACCCTGCAAGGAATATGAAGGTAAACTGCACACACAGGAGAGTTCAAGGACACTAAAGTTTGTTTGACCAATCAGACACTTGAGTCGGGTTCTGATGACACTAGCCATGAGTGCAGGGACTGGCCAGCGGGTGCTGCACGCCTGTATACCCTGCAAGGAATATGAAGGTAACTGCACACACAGGAGAGTTCAAGGAGCACTAAAGTTTGTTTGACCAATCAGACACTTGAGTCGGGTTCTGATGACACTAGCCATGAGTGCAGGGACTGGCCAGCGGGTGCTGCACGCCTGTATACCCTAAGGAATATGAAGGTAACCTGCAAGGAATATGAAGGTAACTGCCACACACAGGGAGAGTTCAAGGACACTAAAGTTTGTTTGACCAATCAGACACTTGAGTCGGGTTCTGATGACACTAGCCATGAGTGCAGGGACTGGCCAGCGGGTGCTGCACGCCTGTATACCCTGCAAGGAATATGAAGGTAACTGCACACACAGGAGAGTTCAAGGACACTAAAGTTTGTTTGACCAATCAGACACTTGAGTCGGGTTCTGATGACACTAGCCATGAGTGCAGGGACTGGCCAGCGGGTGCTGCACGCCTGTATACCCTGCAAGGAATATGAAGGTAACTGCACACACAGGAGAGTTCAAGGACACTAAAGTTTGTTTGACCAATCAGACACTTGAGTCGGGTTCTGATGACACTAGCCATGAGTGCAGGGACTGGCCAGCGGGTGCTGCACGCCTGTATACCCTGCAAGGAATATGAAGGTAACTGCACACACAGGAGAGTTCAAGGAGACTAAAGTTTGTTTGACCAATCAGACACTTGAGTCGGGTTCTGATGACACTAGCCATGAGTGCAGGGACTGGCCAGCGGGTGCTGCACGCCTGTATACCCTGCAAGGAATATGAAGGTAACTGCACACACAGGAGAGTTCAAGGAAACTAAAGTTTGTTTGACCAATCAGACACTTGAGTCGGGTTCTGATGACACTAGCCATGAGTGCAGGGACTGGCCAGCGGGTGCTGCACGCCTGTATACCCTGCAAGGAATATGAAGGTAACTGCACACACAGGAGAGTTCAAGGACACTAAAGTTTGTTTGACCAATCAGACACTTGAGTCGGGTTCTGATGACACTAGCCATGAGTGCAGGGACTGGCCAGCGGGTGCTGCACGCCTGTATACCCTGCAAGGAATATGAAGGTAACTGCACACACAGGAGAGTTCAAGGACACTAAAGTTTGTTTGACCAATCAGACACTTGAGTCGGGTTCTGATGACACTAGCCATGAGTGCAGGGACTGGCCAGCGGGTGCTGCACGCCTGTATACCCTGCAAGGAATATGAAGGTAACTGCACACACAGGAGAGTTCAAGGACACTAAAGTTTGTTTGACCAATCAGACACTTGAGTCGGGTTCTGATGACACTAGCCATGAGTGCAGGGACTGGCCAGCGGGTGCTGCACGCCTGTATACCCTGCAAGGAATATGAAGGTAACTGCACACACAGGAGAGTTCAAGGACACTAAAGTTTGTTTGACCAATCAGACACTTGAGTCGGGTTCTGATGACACTAGCCATGAGTGCAGGGACTGGCCAGCGGGTGCTGCACGCCTGTATACCCTGCAAGGAATATGAAGGTAACTGCACACACAGGAGAGTTCAAGGACACTAAAGTTTGTTTGACCAATCAGACACTTGAGTCGGGTTCTGATGACACTAGCCATGAGTGCAGGGACTGGCCAGCGGGTGCTGCACGCCTGTATACCCTGCAAGGAAT